TGGTGTAAACTGGAATGTTAATATGTGGGAGAGAGAGAGAGAGAGAGAGAGAGAGAATGAGAATGAGAATGAGTATGTTGAATAAATCAGAGTAATTCTTTTATCTTAAGTGATTCCTTCGAAAGATGGAAATAATTTCTCTCTCTCTCTCTCTCTCTCTCTCTCTCTCTCTCTCTCTCTCTTTTTTCGAATTTTCTTCTCTCTTGTTTACGGAAACAAATCTTATATAATGAATCTTGTTGAGAATGTCGGTATAACGAGACCTCGCGAATTATTATAATTCTGCAATGTCCTCCCGGCGTAATATAACTTACGCGGAGCCGAGAAATCATCGGTTATTCGCATCACAGATTATGTCGAGCGTGTAGAAAGAGAGAGAGAGAGAGAGAGAGAGAGAGAGAGAGAGAGAGAGAGAGAAAGAGAGAAAGAGAGAGAGAGAGAAAGAAAGAGGACAGCAGGTATACTATATTGATAAATAATGTATGAACGTTCCTCGGTTGTTTTCCAACGCGAACGTTTGCACGATTCTACGTGCCTCGACTCGTTATTTCTATCGATCGTCATCTTATTTCGCGATCGAAACCAGAAGAAATGAGAGGGAGAGAAAACATTTTTAGTCTCCCGTTCATCGGAAAACGATAAATATATCGTATCATGCATATTACAATAAGCCTATTTATTACTCGAGTCCATTCGAGTATTTATAGAAGGAGCACAAATTTATTTGCTCTTCAATATTTTGTTCAAGAACCGCGAAGCAAATTAAATGTAATCTTTAAAGAACGAAACTAATTTACGAAAGATAATGAATGGATTTAGCGAAATATTTTAACGAAATTAATCTAATCTAATCTAATTGAATAAAAGAAAAATAAACATATTTCTTTATTTTTAAATAAAAATCTACATTCACTTGATTATATTTAATAGTAACTATATACTGATTCATTTTTATGCACATTCATATCCTTTTTTCGTTAATTCTGTGTAATGTCATATAACTGTAAAAATCATATATTTATATAATACATATATATATATATATATATATATATATATATAAGTATATATAAATTATACATATTCTTTAATATAAGTTATACATTACAAGTTCCATATTATATCATTTTTTGTGTTTAACCCAAATAAAAAATTTGAGTTATGTATTAATAGAAGAAAAGAAAAACAAATGGAAAGAAAAGAAAAGAAAAATTAAATTAACTTTTTTAACATTTTTAGGCAAATTGTATGCAGCTTTCGGAAGAAGACAAGGTCGAGTGGTGGCCGCTGAAAATGCTTTGGGTTTCGGTGGACAATTTCGTGTCCTGGCTACATTACCGGTTCCTGAGAGCTTTCAGCTTGCGAGGGAACTAAGAACACAAACGTCCGGATTGGCGAGTCCTCAGCTGGTTTTTAGCCATTGGGAGGTAAGCTAACCAAAATCTAGCAAAGATAGTAATACATAGATCAGACCTGGGTAACCAAAGGTACACTATCTAAAGCCGGCTTGGGATTACTTTAAAAGCTTATCCCCCCCAATAGTCTTTTAAGAGAACATTTTTATCTTTCAACAATTATTTTGTTTTTGGCTATCTTCAACAATGATTAGAAATGAATGAATCGGTTTTTGCTATTTTCATGTATAATAAATAGCGTTATATGTTTTTCGTTAATATTTTTTGCATCATAAATATTTTTTAAAATATAAAAAAATTAAAAAAAAATAATTTGGATTTCAATTACCTAAGTCTGAAATAGATATTAATAATAATTATTAATATTACGATTATTAAATATTCAAAATTTTTATCCTTTATATATACTGAATTATGCATTTTGGATTTAGACATAAATGTAGAAAAAAACATCTTAACTATAAACATTGTTAATAGTTATATTACAGTATTAATACAACTATTAACAATATCTATACTTCTATTGTCTATTTTAGTTAAGTATAATAGGAGATAGATCTCTAATAATATCGTTCTAGGCTGTCTTCCAATCTTTAACCAAAAGTATCAGATACCTTTTCAGTCGTTTTTCTCCTTTGTTTCTATCCTTTTGGCAGGTGTGTTACCTAACAAAAGATACTTGAATATCATCTCTTATTCAAGAGATCCAATTTTTTTCTAGATGTTCTTTATTGTATTTCAAATAAAATTGTAAATATCGAGAGAAAGAGAGAGAGAGAGAGAGAAAGAGAGAGAAAAGAAATTTTTTCTAATGATCTAACTACAGGTATACGAATGGGTACCTCGTGAATCTCCTGAAAATCGTTAACAGAAGATACCTAATGTTTGATAAAATCTAGGGATAAAGAGAGAGAGAGAGAGAGAGAGAGAGAGAGAGAGAGAGAGAGAGAGAGAGAGAGAGAAAGAAAGAAAGAAAGAAAGAAAGGAAAGCAGAAGCGTTAGGGTCCCAACGGAGTCGAAAAGTAGGAAGGCTCCGGGTGAGGGTGTCAGGCTCTTTTTTCCGGCGTCGCTCGAAATCCTTCGGTATAACTTTCAAACCCCCGGCGGGCTATTATTCCGTGTACAATGAGGACGATCGACCGGTGACGGGACGACAATGCAGAAGGACCATAGCCCAAGGGCCCTTTACGAGCACGTATAAAATCTTCCGTAGTTCCGTTTGGTAGAAGATACCCCCCTCGAAGATATCTTGGCTCGCTTATCTTCTTGAAACGTCCTCCTACAAAAGCCAACCGTCACTATTTCGAAACTCAAACGTTTATTATCGAGCATGCAAAGTCTCATTCGAAGAAGATGGTATATTATCGTTGATGGTGCACCTTGACGTGTTTCAAGCCTGAGAAGCTTCTTGTTACTTGGTACTTGATACCTTCCTTGACTATAAATTTATACGATTTATAGATCTTCTCTCTTCTCTTTCTATCTGTTTATCTTCTTCTCAAAGAGAATCGTTTTCTATTTAATAAAAAAAAAAAAAAAAAAAAAAAAAATGTCATCCTAAGAATTTAAGATTGGAATAGAAACAAAAATATATTAACAGAATGGTCTTTGACCGTTTAAGAAATTTTTTAATGAAAGAGAGAAAAAGAGAACGAACGAAGAGACACGCAAGTTACTTCGAAGGAGTAAAAAGAAGGTGCGCGATTAAATCGGTGAAATTAGTACTTCCGTTCGGAAATTGAAGAAATAATGACGATAGTTAGAACCGGAAATCGTATATACACGACGGTACCTCTCCATCTTTTGCTCGCTACCGCGAAGAACCGCTGCTGGTAAACAACCGAACGAGGATGGTCATTTCTTTTTCTACGGGCTCCCTGCTGGTAGGAGAAGGAAACTATCCCTACCATCTTTCTTTACGGGCACTTTTCTCAAGTAGTGTAACGAACAAAGACGGAACGGTTAAATTCGAACACTATAAGTCCTAACGAACGATTGAAAGAAATATAAAGAAGAAAAGAGAAAGTGAAAATTTTTTTCTATTTTTTTTTCTTCTTTTTTTTTTCATTTCAAATTATTCCATTGAAAAAAAAAATCGTAGAAAAACACAATATTTTTCTAATTTAACAATTTCAAAATTATTTTCAAAATTAGCTTTACGAAAAAAATTATATGGTGGTTGAACTTTTTTTAATGAATTTTTTTTCGATCAAAATTGTCACGATTTTCATATACTTACTTACAAAGAGTATAATCCAACGAGTAACCCGAGAAATCAATCAAAAGTATTCTTACGTACAAAAAAGGAGATGGCGTTGAATGATACTATAAGGGAGAAGGAAAGGAATACTATGGTAACGCATAATGCCAAGACATAATATTCCGAAAACCTACGAAAACAAATCTGGTTTGAAACAAAAAGTGCTGTCTACCATCTGTTGTTGAGTGACGAGCGTCTTTGTTTCTACCGGTAAAATTATTGTCCTTTCTTATGGACTACCTCTGATTCAATTCCATGGGCTATAGATTATCCTTCTCGTTTGCTTCGGTCCGCACCAGGTGTCCGCATCTTATAAATTTCAATACGGGTGAGAGCGAGAGATGTAGTTGGTGAAAAAAAGGGAATAAAAGAGAGAGGAGGGATGAAAAAGAGAGGAGACGAGCAACGTATCTGGAAAAAAATATGATAAAAAAGAAATGTTAAAAGGACTAAGGGTGGTAAAAGGAAATACAAACGGAAAATGAAATCACCTGCACGATTTTCATTCATTCTTTTTTCTTTTTCGCGGTACAATGTTTAGCCGTGTCTGATCTTATTTATTAATTATAATAATAATAATAATAGTTAATAGTAATAGTAATGGTAATAATAATAATAATAATAATAATAATGAAAATAAAAAATATAATAATGATAACAATAATAACAAAAGCAGCAACAAAATTTCATGTGAATATCATGCGTCTCGTATATGTCCCACGGATATCCTTTCGTTCTCGGGTCTTCCTCCTCTTCCTGGTGCCTTCGCTTAACCGAAGGATAGGTATACCCTGTGATGGAATTACTGAATGTCCGATTAACAGTTACGACATTTTTGTAGGGTCTTCTTCTTGTAAAATGAGAACAATGTGTAATTTAAGGAATTCAATCAAAATATTCAAAATAGAAAATAAAAAAATTAAAATATTAATATTTAAATTATTCTCATGTATTTGTTACATGCAAATGATTGATATTAGTTTCGATTTTTTGATTTTTCTTTTTTTTTTTTGTTTTTTTCTAGGTTATTGAACAAGATCCATACTGGGTACCATCGACAGAGGAAGAATATCTTCATTATGGCGAGAAAGCCGATAGTGGAAATCGTGCGAAGAAATACATGGACGCTGTACGACGTCGAAAAGGTCTTCCCGTCGATTCTCAATTAGTTACGCACGGTGAAAAGCAACGTACTTTGTCTAAAAACAAATGAGACAAACTGTACATATATATATATATATATATATTTTCCCCCTTTCGTTACAAGATCGGACTCGAGAAGTCCAATTTTTTTTTTCTAATCTCTATAATTTTTTTAATGATATTAATAAATTCTTATAAATAATAAATTCGTACCATCGAAAAAATATTTATTTTAAAATTTGTCAAAAAAAAAGAAAAAAAAAAACAACTACTGATTCATACGATCATCATCCATTTTAAAATAATAATCTATTATTTTGTATAAAGTTTTATAGGAATACTATGAAATTAAGTTTATCTTACGTACGTTTTACTTTTTATTTGTATTCTTTCGAAACTAAGGATCAACGTAATCAATTTTTTATGTAGATTTATGATGTAGAATTTATTTGTTTAACACGAATATATGTTATGTATATATGTATATATATATTATAAACGTGCGGTGTGAACTATTTGACTAATAACGTTTATTCGTATTTGTTACTACCAATTATTATATTAGTTAACCTACTAAATTTTTTAAGAGATAGAAAAAATGAAAAATGTTTGAAACGATCTATTTCTTCTACTTCCTATAATATTAACAATAATCATGGTATACAATAAAGTGTACGAAAATTCTTCTTGAACAAAGAAATGAACATGAATGTTGAAAATCGTGGACGTAATCGCTTTCCGACGTAGAAAATCACCGATCAAAACGAAGTAAGTGATGAGGCTATAAAATTAATCATTTCCCGTCTCGTCTCGTCGCTCTATTTTGCTATACTTCCGTAATATTTCCTTCTCGTATAAAACTTAATATCACATTAGAATCTCCAATTCATTTGAATTCTTACAAAATTTTCGTTAAGAAAACTATCGCCTAAAGATAAGAATAATTTATTTACAAAGCCTGTATAAACATCAATATATTATAATTTATTCATTATCGAAAATGATTTTCTTTCCTTGAAAACCTTGTTTTATAATTTCTTGTTGTTTCTTCTTCGCTGCCCAAGAGGGATGTAAATTTTTATTTTCGTTAGAATTCTCGTTCATGACGTTGTTACGTTTCTTTGTATCTTTGAAGGACGATTCATTGTTGTTCTTCTGCTTTTTAAATAAATTTTTATCTCTATTAAAATTATGCCTACTTTCTTTTTCTCTTCCCTTTCCTTTTATTGCTTCAGAGGATTTTATATTACTGAAGAACCTATCGTTTGAGAATGTCCTTTTATCAATGTACTCTTTGGATTTTTTATTGTAATAGTTATTATCTTCATCCTCGGATAGATAATTATTTTCTTTAGTTGTTGAAGATGCTAAGCTGAGATACGCATCACCATCACCACTCACGAAGAATGAATCAATTTTTTTTTCAGATTCTGACTTATTCTCAATAGGAACTTTTTCATTATTTATATTCGAAGAACCATTTTCCTCTGAACTTTGTTCCTGTAAAATTTCTGTAAATCTTTTTACTGTTGCCTGTTTACTAATAACCTTTACCGTATCCTGTTCTTTATCATTGTGAGATATTTCCTTTATCTCTGCTTTCTTGATCTTTTTAACATCTTCGTTATCATATTTATCATTGCACTCTTCTGTAAATTCTGTACTTTCTTTTCTATCTCTTTTTAAACGTTTATTTTCTTTGGATTTAGTCTGTTTGCAAATCATAGGTTTTATTCTGAGAATACTCCCTGTTTCTAAATCATTTTGTTCTGAATTTTGTTCTTCCTCTGAATGATTGTTATCTTCTGTTTCTATCCCTATATTATTATTATCTTCATCATCAGAATTCGATTCATTCGCTAAAGAACTTTCAGTAATTCTAGTACTTGCACGTGTTTCTCTCTTCGTTGTTGTCTTGCTCTCTTTTTCCTGTTCAGGCTTCTTATTTTGCTTTGTAGATTTACTTTGTCCAGGTTGTAAATGCTCATAATCAGAGTATGTGTTGCGAAATTGGATTATAGCATTTTTTAACGATTTATAATCAACTACTTTGGCCATAATACGAGTAGTTGTCTTAGACTTTTTATTTTGTAAAATTTCTTGCAAACTTTTTGTATTAGTAATACCAAATTTGGTAATACGATCATCTTTGATCTTTTTCAAGAAATATATCTCGTTGATCAATTTATCAGCTTTCTTCTTGTTCTTTTCTTGTTGCTTCTCAGTTCCATTTTTTGTACGCAATGTTTTGGCTTCTCTAATTAATTTATGTATTATACATACTTTGGCTTGTCGTACCAATTTCCTCATTCGAACTATCTGTAATAAACATATAAATATTTACTCTTATTTTGTAATAATTTAACAAACTCTCATAACCTCTAAACTATTTTAAATATACTAACTATATATAGTAACTTACCTCATCATTAATTTCGGTTTTTCCCATTGTATAACTTTTTTTCATTAAATTCTATATTATATTTAGCATAAAATAATTTATAATTAATATTCTTTATGTAATTAAAAACATTTTAATTCATTCAATGTTGAAAGTAGATGGAATACGAATATTTTTTCGATATCACCTGGTGGTAGATAAATGAAACTAATAGCAAAGTTACCGATAAAAAAACTCAAATTTGCAAATAATAAATATCACTTTAATTCCATTCTTTCGCCACTAGATGGAGCTGATTCAAATTATTATTAAAGAATTCTGCGAAAAATTGTTTTGTTAAAAATCCTTTTTTAAAATAATAAACAAACAATAATAATGTTCTAATAAATATTTTAGTAAACAGTGAATTATGAGTTTGATTTTACGATCATACAAGATATTTTATACTGACATGTATAAGTAAAACATTTCCAAATATTATTTAAAAAGTGAATATGCTATTAAATAAATATTTATGAAATACAAAATACATATATTATTTAGATCGTATGGACTGATAATTTAAAAGCAAAATATATGAACTTAAAGAAACAGACGTAATTTGACTTATACATCCTGTTAAGTGTGCATATTAATTATATATAAACTTGTTCAGTAGATAGCGCGTTAGTCAACGGTCATACGTATACATTCGTATATGTTTACAAAATTAGGAACTTTGGGAAACACATCGTAACATCTTGCACTGTTTTTTCACGATAGAGGTAAATTATGTAATATATATCGTTCTACACAGATTTTTGCGAATGAATATCATTATGGAAGCAATTAGATTTACGGGGCTATCTATGACCTTGAACCGTATTTTTTCTTCATGAAACTTAAGTCTGTTTGTTCTGTGTGAGTGATGTGTCAAATATTTGTATCTTCTTATTTTTTAAATCCGTTTATCTTTATCGTCGATCATTTGTGAATAGATTCGATTATTTCGTTTGACATCTATCAAATCATTCGAAATATTTAAAATAATTTGTTAATTAAATGAAAGGTATCATCGTTGATAAACGTCTTGTATATCTGTGGAGATCTACAAGGTTAGTGCTGTTCTGTTGACGTATAGATCGTGCTGTGTATTATTTTTGTTACTGTCATATAGTGTCATATACGCAGTTCAGCTTTTTAAATATTCACTCTTTATAATTTGATATGTTTGCAAGATAATTGTTAATATTATTATGATGTAAATATATTTTGTGAAATAAAAAAAATTTTGTGTTCTAAAAGTTGCATGAATATATATATATTTATGCGAAGGAAAATAATTTTAATATTATATTATTCACAAATTTCTTATATTTATACATGTGAATTTGTACAGTATAATACTGTATAATAAATACATATTTAATTCTACAGATATTACATTGTCAATAGTGATTACAACAATGAGTTGTGTACGATGTTGTTTGATAAGTGCTGGACGTTTAGCATCTTCCAATCATGTTACCACTCACTGTGAGTATGATTTTTAATATGACGTATATATATTTATTTCAATATCTAATATCATATAAAAAATTTAATTTAATGGTTATATAGTTCACAAGATTGTGAGAGTCGTTGCTAGTAGATCACTTACAACAAGTACAAGCTTAGCTAAAGCTCCATCTGAAACTGTACCACCTAATAAAAATAATGGTACTACAACATCTGGAAGTGCAGGATCAGGTGGTGATAATGGTAAAAAGGATGCTCTTATCTGTCCAAAATGTGGTGATCCTTGCACACATGTTGAAACTTTTGTATGTAAGTACAAATTGTTTTACCAATTATTTCATTTGTTCTAAATATAATAAATAATATTAATATATGTTTTATTCCCTAAAATAGCATCAACAAGATTTGTGAAGTGCGAAAAATGTCATCACTTTTTTGTAGTACTATCAGAAGTAGATTCAAAAAGAAGTTTAAAAGAAGCATTGAGACCTGACATGGACTCTAAACATGGATTTTATAGAAAACCACCTCCACCTCCAAAAAAAGTGATACAATATATATTAACAGTACTAATATTATTATTAATTATGTAGTATATAAACACTATCAATAAATGATTTCAGATCTTTGAATATTTGAATAAGCATGTTATTGGTCAAGAATTTGCTAAAAAAGTACTTAGCGTTGCTGTATATAATCATTATAAACGAATATACAACAACTTACCTGTGCAAACAATTCAACCTAATACTGGTTCAGTTGCCTCGCAAGAAATGAATCATCCATTTACTCACAGAGGTCTTAAACCACGTAAATAATATTTCTTATAATAATCTATTATTGCATTGTAATTTATAAAATATTTTTAATTATTTCTTTTAAGTTCTATAAACTTTATTTTAATTTTCACACATTATATATTATTTGATCTAATATTATTTTATCTGATAATTAATTTATAGACTTTAATATAATTTAATGTAAAAAGCTATATCACAAAAGTTAAAAGGTTTTTTATTTTTTGTTTTTCAGATTTGTTGCATATATCTAGCGTCGGTAATTCATTAGGAGTTGGATATCAAAATATTTCTGGTAGTAATGATCAACAGAAAGGATCGAACCAATCTGCACTTGGATCAGACATTTTAGATAGTCAGCAGCATCAATTGAAGCTAGAAAAAAGTAATATTTTATTGCTTGGACCAACTGGTTCTGGAAAAACTTTGTTAGCACAGACAATAGCTCAATGTTTGGATGTACCCTTCGCTATCTGTGATTGTACCACATTAACCCAAGCAGGATATGTTGGAGAAGATATAGAAAGTGTTATAGCAAAACTTTTACAAGATGCCAATTATATTGTGGAGAGGGCGCAGATGGGTATTGTATTTTTAGATGAAGTTGATAAAATAGGTGCTGTTCCTGGTATACATCAGCTACGAGATGTTGGAGGTGAAGGTGTACAGCAAGGAATGTTAAAAATGTTAGAGGGTACAATCGTTAATGTGCCTGAAAGAAATAGCTCAAGAAAGCTTAGGGGTGATACGTTACAAGTAGATACAACGAACATACTTTTCGTTGCATCCGGTGCCTATAATGGTTTAGATAGACTTATTTCACGACGCAAGACTGAAAAATATTTGGGCTTTGGTGCAGTACCTGCATCTGAAAGTCCAGGAAGAAGAGCTGCCAGTCTCGCTGATGTAGCTAATATGTCACCTTCTACAGAAATAGACAATAAAGAGAAAGATCTTTTATTGCAACAAGTAGAAGCACGAGATTTAATAGACTTTGGCATGATTCCAGAATTTGTGGGAAGATTTCCAGTACTTGTACCTTTTCATACTTTGAATAGAGATATGTTAGTTCAAATTCTTACAGAACCAAAAAATGCTATGGTTCCTCAATACCAGATGTTATTCTCTATGGATAAGGTACATATAGATATGACAACTAATGCTTTAAAGAATGTTATATGTGACCATATGTTTTAACATATTATAATGTAAATTAACTTATTACAGGTGGAATTGACATTTACAAGTGATGCTTTGAGTGCTATAGCATCATTAGCTATGGAAAAAAAAACAGGTGCAAGAGGTTTACGAGCTATAATGGAAGCTCTACTTTTAGAACCTATGTTTGAAGTACCAGGAAGCGATGTGATGTCGGTCCATATAACAGAAGGATGCGTACGTGGTCAAGAAAAGGCACAATATATAAGAAGAGGTGAGGCAACAGAAGAAGAATTGCAACAAGCACAACATGTACAAAACTAGCAAATAATCAAAAAACAAGAGAATAGTGTATAGCTGTTTCGATGCTGTATTACTATTGTCTCTTGTAAAAATTTAAATAATATAAATCGAATATAAAAATTTAAATGAAATTTTATAAATCAGATAGTCTCCAGATTATAAAAGAATACTATGATCGTTAGATAGAAAATATATAATATAATCTTAACTGAAAGTAATTATAAAAAGAAAAAAAAAATGAAAAAAGAGGTATTTATATTTTAAGTAACTGTAAAATAGTTTCATAAACAAAAAGAATAAATTGGTAGAATATTTTATGTGATGACTATAATTAGAGCTTACATTATATTTGATTCGAATATTGATTAAATTTGCTTTGAAATGCAAGTAATATGTCATATTAAAACATATAGCAGATGATGAAGCATTCCACAAACATTGATGTATATATGCATTTTATGAAATATCTTAAATTCTGCCACATTTATTTATTGTTTCTTACTTCAATTTATACATTCATCGCCTGTTATTAACAAAATCTAATTTTTAACTCAATTTATTATAATCAATTATATTTATAAACAATTATATTTGTTTTCTCTATATTTATATATCAAGAAAACAATTATAAAATTTACTACATTTTGTATTTAAGCATATAAAAAAATTGATAATAAGTTATTACATATATGTCTATTCACCAATGTTCTTTTTGCGAAATTTAGAAAGAAACAAATTTTATTATTGTATTCAAAAATTAACTAACATAACAAAAAAAAAGTTAAATGATAATTTTCCAAAAAAAGAACAAAATTTCTATAAATAAAATATATAAAAATTTAACGTATCTGTAGTTTTGTTAAAGAGGTAAATATCTACAGTGATATATAAGAAAATAAAAATTCATTGTAATATATTGTATATAGAAATAGATAAAATTAGTGAACTATGAAAACCTTGTGGTGGAAATTTTACTAATATTGATATCAGTAGTTTTTTTTTTGTGATTGAATATTGTCATAAATACTAAGTAAAACAAACAAAATATTATTAGATAACCTATCTACTCTATTAGTTTTAATTTAGTTTTATACTCCTATTAAATGACAATCTAGAAAAATTGCTTTTTAGAGTCATCTTATTTTTTTGAAAGTGTAGGTTATAATATTTCTAATAATATTCAAGATTACAATATCCACATGTATGCGTGAAATTATATTAATTATCTACATATAATATAATATCAGAATGGGCTGTGTACAATATAAATATCTAAAAAATGTAAAAAATTATCTATGAACACAATATAAAATTTTATATATTATTATTACATGTAATTATCATATATAAAATTTTATATAGGTCATTGTTATAAATAATTTATATTGTATGACCTGATATTTCTAATAAATTCAATTGAGATAAATAATATGTATTATACTCATTTAACTTTGTACGATATGTCGATAGGCTATTTAAATATAATATTTATAGGTTAAATACATACAGATT